AAATGTAACTCCACCCCTTGTCAAGATTTGAAAAATGCTATGAAAGTGGGCGTTGCCGGGAGGCATGGCCAAGTGTGGGGAATTTCCATCCTGGCAGGGAGGAGACTGTACCGATGACATGAATTTGTTCCAGCCCCAGTCAATCACAAATTTAAAATGCAGCAGCCGCTGATCTGCCACAGGGGGCAGCACTAAGACATTTTTAGACCTAGATTCTAGATTTAATCAAGTTTACACAAGCATGTCAAAAAATGCTCAGAAACAGAAAGATTGCATTCGTAAAGACCCAATTATACAGCAAAAAATATAAGCAAAAAATAGTAATTTCGGGGTTTAGTTACTCTTTAAGATGCTGGGACAAAGACATAACTTCAACAATCCTACAGCTGAAATCACCGATCCGAACTAAGACGGCACAGCACATAATGGAAAGAACCAAGATAGCACTATAAGAAAAGAAACCTCATAACCAAACTGAAACAAGTGGGAAAAGAACTGGAAAGAATACACCTGGACCTGAAAAGAATTTACTCTACGCCAACTCAACACACCAACAATAGAACATAGAAAGGAATGTGAAAAGAAAACAAGTCGAAGACACACGAGAGCAGCAAAACAAGAAGCAGGAAGTACAAAAAAGGAATCAGCTGTAACAGACCACTGCAAAAGAGAAAACCAAGTGATGGACTGGGACAGAACAAGGATCATGAATGCAGAACAACTAAAATACAAAAGATGGATTAAGGAAACCATAGAAATAAGGAAACATGGACACAAAACTACGAACAGAGACGATGGGGTCTACACATTGGATCACCCAGGACCTTATCATCGCAGAGGAGAGCGCGGGCAGTAGAGAGTGACATCATCCTCTGCTGCCCACAGATAAACGGAGAAGGAAGTGATGTCACCAACATTGGCAGTGCTCCGAGGAAGGCTACAGCGTTTGCCTAAACTTGTCAGCACCAAAGGTAAAAACAAATCTTCGACTATGCTGTGTTTAAAAAAAGAGTTAAAACAATGGAGCTCCTGATTTACTAGTTCACCTGTCCAGTCCTCACCTAAAGTCATGAGATTTGCATCATGACCACAATAATGAGAGTCCAAATACTAAAGGCTGAAACAAACTTCCTCTCTTGTCATCAAGCTTGGTCTTACGGACAGGGGAGGAGTTTCATCGTTTAGGGGAGCTTGAAATAGAACACCTCTCCTTATCAAAAGGTGTCAGCTGAGGTGGTTCAAGCCTGATAATCATCACTCTTCAGAGGTTTTCCAGACATGGCTCACTGGGAAGAGACTCTGGGGAAGATCCAGAAATTTTGGGAAGAATTAATCATCTTTTCTGTCTTGGGAACACTTTAGGACCTTCTAGGGAGGAGAGGCAGATGAATGTGTGAGTTTCTTTTCTGAGCTGTGACCTCTGAAACCTAATGTATATGGATGGATACTACACCAGCCAGGCTGAGATTGGGATGATAGTAAAGACAAATGAGAATAAGATTACTCATAGAGAGCTAAAATCAGCAGAGTTCTCATTATTCAGGGAATTTAAAGAAATATTCCACTCACCTGGATTTCATTTTGCGCCAACTACTCAAGAATATATTTGGTGACTTGAAACTAGCCTGGGGAAGTGTGTCAAAATTAACAGGAGAGCTCATTTTCAATTATTTTCACTTTTTTTAATGCAGCAAGTCTAGATGCATCTTCAACATTAATTATGATGTTTTAGTCTGACTGAGAAATGTACACAAGGATAAAAGAAAGAGAAGAAGAAGAAGAAGAAGATCTTAAGAAGAAGAAGAAGAAGACGATCTTTTATAAAGCACCTGTCAAGATAAAAGTCACGAGGCGCTTATTGCATGTATACATTGGTTTTCCCCCTTATGGTTTCTATGACATCAATAAACAACACCATTATTTCAACTAGCATGTCTGTTTTGGCCATAAAACACTTTTTCCACACCATCTTTTTCATTAAAAGGTTACCGAGAACATGTTTGCAGAAGCCAAGGCCACACAGAGAGCATGTCAGAGAGTTAACATGATGTTTTGTTTGGTAGCCATGGCATAGTCAAAGCAAAACCTTGTGTTGTCAGGTCTGTGTCACCCTTTTACACCTCCCTCATCTTGAACTATTGTTGCATGGCCCTTAACTGACATGTTGTTAACCATGCAAGTGTAAGATGCTTTACTTTAAGATGTGACAGGACTCCTGAGACTAAAGCTTCAAACTGTCAACACGGTCTCTTCTGCAGCTATCTGAGAGAATCATCTTAAATGTTCAAGCCCTGCATGTCAAAGCAAAACCAGAAAATATAGATTATAACCAGCAGGGAGTTGGACTTTATCTCCCATAGCCAGGTCATAATTTCATGTTCAGACAC